TGGGAGTGTTAGCCATAGGCAGACAAGGAATGAAGTTACACAGTTAAAGCTATATATATGTGATTGAAGCTGGAAGAGCTCCAGGCTTCACATCCCTCGACTACTTCAGTGTGTCGAGGGCCAATAGCTACCTTGTTTTGATCCTACACACACTACTTGAAGGTTGCATATATTGAGAGATATGTCAAAATTCAATCAGTGCAGCTAAGGTTGCACTACTTGCATGTATGCATGACTTTGGCGATGATAATTATGGAGGTTCTAGAGCTAAGCTCACGTCTGAATCCGCCTTCCTTTGAGGCACTACCTCTACATCTGTGTGTGCTGTGTGCCAACGTCTGTTACATTTGAGTGCATCTTCGAGAGTTCGATTCTGGCGCTCAGTCGCTCCATCTGATTGAGCTCTGTCGGCGGTGATCATGGCTTGGTGGATATCCATAATCTCCGTGAGGGACTTGAAGGCTTCACCTTTCATCGACTTCGTCCCTGAGTCCTTTGCGTATGCCTTCACAAAACGTTCCTTGGCTTTGGTGTCCATCTCGGTGGTGATAAAGGACACTTGCTTCGAGTGGTTCATCGTTAGACGTTGAGGCACTAGCACTCCTTTTTGCTCCCCCAACTCCTCCCCCCAAAAAGAAGAGTTCACAATGACGGCGATGTCACGAGTCGTGTAGGTGGAGAGAGCCGAGGCATGGACAAGAAGTCGATTGATGCGCGCCGCGACTGAGGCACAGTGGATACCATACGCGTGGATTGAGAGCTGGTGAACGGTGGAGGTGGCCTGTGGAGGCCGAGACAAGGCATCAGCTATCACATTCAACTTGCGAGGATAAATATTGCCACATAAGAATTGCTGAGGACCACATAGGAATTGCTGAGGACCACATAGGAATTGCTGAGGACCACTTAGGAATTGCTGAGAGCCACATAAGAATTGCTGAATCGCACATGCTGTTTGCTGAAGGAAACATGAGATTTGCTGAATTGAATATACAGTATGTTACACGACGAGATCCACTTCGGCAGGCAATGCGTTATGAGCATTTCTGGACACGTGTGACTACGACCAATGTGATTGGTTATTAATACTGAACTCACTCAATGTGACGCTCGTCCTCGCTCCAGTGCCACTTGGCTCCTTCAGCAATCCACTAAGGGGACGGACGAGCGCCGCAAAGTCGGGGATGAACTTGTGGTAGTAACTGGCAAGCCCAACAAAACTCAGGAAGTCTTTGCTCGACTGAGGCTCCGGCCACTTTTCGATTGCACGGACTTTGGACGGGTCCACGTGGAGGTCATCTTTCGAAATGGTGTGACCCAAAACGTTGACAGTGTCGACACCAAACGAGCACTTGGAAGGACGCACATATAGCTTCTCGGTGCGAAGCACAATGCAAATTGAACGCAAACAATCAGCGTGCTCTTCGACCATCCGCGAGAACACACAAATGTCGTCCATGTAAAGTACACCACGAAAAAGTCGAACTTGTCAAAAAATTGACGCATAAGGCGAGACCTAATGCCTGGCATGTCTGCCATACCCATTGGGTTCACTACATATTCACAAACATCGCGATGGGTCCTGAAGGCGGTGTACTTCCGCGCTGATGGCATCACTAGCATTTGGTGGTAGCCAGACGCCAAGTCGATCTTCGTATACTGTAGACTCGGCATCCGTGCATGAGGTTAAACAGGTCTTCAATGTTGAGCAGCGGGATATTTGGCACGATGGACTGAGAGTTGACATGGCGTTAATCCAACACCCATCGTATAGGGGTGTCGGGCGTGGCGGTACGAAGCCACTCACGGCGTGAAGAATCTGACCATCATCACTACGCTTGGGAACACCGAAGATGTTGGATACCCAGGCGCTGTTCGAGAGCTCGATCCAGGCCTTTTGCAACAGATCGTCGACGAACGTGTCCAAAGAACCTGCTTCCACCTTGGACAAACGGAACGGGGGCCGGTGCTGGGGTCTCGCGTGAGGCTTCACTGTCAAATCGAACTCAATCCCACGCGGCGGTGGTCGGGAAACACGTCACGAAATTCTTCATCCACGACCCCGGCCACGAGGGGGTGTAACTTCTGCTGAGGTTCCATTTTCGTCGTGACTTTGATCATCCATCCTTCGATTCGTTCAGGCTCGACTTCACTTGAGTTGACGTTGAAGATTTGGTGGGTACGCCTGTCGATGACAGGGTTGCAACGAAAGAACCGTTGCAACGAAAGAACCAGGGTTTTCCCAATATGACGTCAAAGTCCTTCTTCCCGAAATCCCACTCGGTAAGTATAAGATCCGGGAACGTCCATTGACCAAAGCAAAGTGTGTCAGATACTTCCTTCACTTTCTTGATGCCAGAGCAGTGTCCATCGAAGCCTTCAGCTTGAACTTCCTTGGAACGGATCACTGTCTTGGCCAAAACTGATTCTGTGGCCCATGTGTCCGCAGTTTTAGCAGGGACCTACTTGGCGTTGTCTACTTCCATGTCGTCATCTTGGCGCTGGCGTGGAGGATACGTATGCGGTGGAAGGCTTCCTTCGTGTAGGTTGTTGAACTGATGGTGGGATCTTGAAATCCTTGGTGCGGGTGGCGATCGTGGCGATGAAAGCGGTCGCGGTCTCTGGCGTGACCACCCTTAAGGGTCGAGTTGTGGGAGCTAGATGTGCTGTCTCTGCAAACGACCACATAACCGTCTAAGAAGACTGGCTACGTAGGGCGAGTACATGGGACTTGATGCGAGACCAACCAGGAAGTTCTACCACTTGTAGCACTGCAGGAGGAAGCGTAGGTAGTTGAGGGCAAAATGCACAATGAATTAACGGAGGATCTACTTAGATCTCCTTAGTCCTCATCCCTATGGAATCTTCTTCGTCTACTTCACTACTCCTACGCTAATATGCACTTGTGTATACAATGAATGCGGGTGTGGTTGAGACATTGGAGGACTTCACTAGGCTAGGGGATTCTAAACCATACATGCCCTTGAGACACATCCCGAGGCAAGCATTAGGTACGGTGCGCCATGAGCCAGGTACTTACGAGCTGGGTGCGGGCAAGATGGTGACAAGGCGTTACCCCCACTTGTCACATCGCTACATGCATGGTTTCGGGGCTAAGGTACCAAAGGCGCAGCGAACAAGATGGTAGAGTCGCTTGGTCGTGGCCTTGGCGATGTCAAACAAGTCTGGCGTGAATACCTACAGTCACTTCAGTCACTGAGGCAGCCCCGCCGTCCAACACGACATCGCAAGACCCCGCGTTCAAAGCATCGTAGCCATGGTACAGGCATTCGTTCATGACCAACGTGCCACCGGCACCAGGACCACATCAGTGGACGTGACTGTGTTCCTCAAGAAATGCGCGTCGACTTCGACATCGACAATACAAGCGCGTACAAAGCGACGCTACGTGCAGTTCAACGCTTTCTCAGCCGTCAGGGCTACAAGCGAAGCGCGCGCAAGGGATCGTCAACTTACCACTAGTCGAAGAAGAACACTTTGGCCCGCGACTCGTACGTGCAACTCATGCAGCCACATGTTGCATCGCCCCACCGTCCACCCACCGTGTACACGGATGAATCGTACATACATCATCATTACAAATACCGCAACCATCGTGTGTACGACCGTTCCGACGAGTTGGACGTGGTGACCAAGGAGAAACATAAGGGTCGGCGGTACTGCTTTGTGGCGGCCATACTGGACTCCCCAACTATGGACAGCAAAGTCATGGCCATCGACATTTTCACTGGTGGTAAGAGCATTGCAAGCGAGCTCAAGGACTACCATGACATGTTTAACCATGCATACTACGTTGGCTGGTTTGGGAATCTGTTGGCCGAACTGGACTACCTGCAGTAGTCGGGAACATTGATTGTAATGGACAACGCAAAGGTCGCCCCAGTTACACTCCGTCGAGTCGTCAGTGCAAGAGTACTCTGGTGGAAGCGTGCAATTTGTATGGAATTTCAACCACGGGAAACGAGTAGAAAAGTGTCCTGTAGTATAAAAGTGTCCTGTGATCCAAATTGGCTGCGCACATTGACAGGAACATCTTCCGGTTATTGTGACAATGGCTGAGGAGCGTGGCCACACTTTGGTGTTTACACCTCCGCATCACTCCCACCTCCATATCAACCAATTGAGATGGTCTGGGCATTCGTGAAGTCCGATGTCGGTCGTCAGTACATGTATACCGACATGACCAAATTTCCTGAAGTCAAGGCTCGTCGGGAATGTGCGTTCAAGACATTGGCGCCTCATTCGATCAAGGGATGTGTCAAAGTTTCCGAAGACAAGTTGCAGAAGTTAAATGAGAACCTTCAACAAGTTGATGCACTATAGGCTAACGAAGAGTCCTCAGCAAGAAGTGACTCTTTCAAGTCCAAATATACTGTATACGGGTGAAATGCACAATATGTAAGTTTATCTACACTAAACTGGAGAGACATGGAGAATGAATAGTCGTCGACACAATCAAATATGTACACAAGATTACACGGCAGAAGTAGTATTGAGCTAATCAGATTGCAGGAAACCATCATCAACGTCGAATTAGTGTGGAACTTCAATTAGTGTGATTCTTCCAAACACTTGTTTACATACAAAAGGCAGGTCAGGATAAAGAATCGATCGATCGATTTGGCGAAAATCAGCACAGATAGAATGTATCCACATTTCGAGTAAAATAATATAATATTCTACTTCGAAGTACTATGTTTGGCAATAATTGCAGACAAGTCGAAAAAATCAACTTCCACTTTTTCGATTGGTCTAAAATTGAGTGGCTAAACGAAGCTCATTGCGTTCTATCAGAAGCAATTTTTAGTTCAATTTTATTTGCACACCTGCCAACGAACGGTAAATGCAAAGTTTGCATACAAAATCCAAGTCAAACTTGACCGATGACCAGCGAGGGGCGTTGTACGAAGATCTTCTCTTGACGAGTGTAAACGGCAGGCTTTCGCGAGTAGCGATTGCAGCAGTGGCGCGAAAATTTCAACGTCCACTCGTCGACTGTATCGATGATTTGGCAACGTGGCCGTGCAACGGCGCTGCCTGGTAGCCGTGCCGACGTCAAGTCTCGAATGACCAATTGTGGTCGAACGAAATCCTACACGGTCAATGAGATCGAGCAGTGCATCAAGGCAACACCTCTGGCCCAACGACAAACTTACCGTGCATTGGCAGCAGCGATTGGAGTCTCAACTTGGACGATTTGGAACTTTATCCAAAGCAAGTGGGTCACCCGACGTCCAAACTGGACAAAGCCACGGCTCAAGCCCGAACACATGAAGCAGCGCGCCGACTTCTGCAAGGCAATTTTGAACGACTACAGTAAGCATAATGACAATGAATTGTACAATGCCGTTCACATTGACGAAAAGTGGTTTTACATCACCAAGATTCGTCGCCGCTTTTACCTCTGGCATGACGAAGAGAACATGCCCAGACACGTGCAATCGAAGAGCCACATCACCAAAGTGATGTTCCTGGTGGCCGTGGCCCGACCTCGCAGCGACTGGGACGGAAAATTTGGCTGCTGGCCTTTCGTGGTGTCCACTCCCGCCCAACGAACAAGCGCGAATCGGCCAGCAGGCGCACTTGTCACGAAGTCGGTCTACCGTTCGTATCTCGTTGAGAAGGTCATTCCGTCGATCAAGGAGATGTGGCGTTGGCTTACCGACGACAACGAAGGGGTCGTGTACTTGCAGCAGGACAACGCTCGCGCTCATGTCGCTGCCGATGAACCAACTGTTGCTGCTGCCGCTGAGCATGCGGCCTTCCGCATTCAAGTGCGCAACCAACCGCCGCAAAGCGTAAACTCGAGGTAAAACACAGGGGCAACGATCGAGTGTGCAAGTACTTGAAGTACACCATCGCATCTTTGCAGTACCCGTGTCCGCGTAAATGATCGGGCAGGAGAACGTCCACTTCGGGACACCGCGCGAGTTCCGCGAGCAAGTCGGCTAGTGGCGCGTCCTTGGATAGAAGATGCGCTGCGCGGGATTCCTTTGGACTGTAGTACGTCGACGGAATGATCGAGTTGTTCCCATGCAGACACAGGTCGTTCAAGTTTCGCGAGGAAGATCTGAACACGCTGCATAGTCATTTGGTTGATCTTCATCCACAGCCACACAGTGGTTGTCTTGAAGCACGGCGAGGACGTCCTTGGCCACGGTCCTGGTGCGTGTAACACAGCGGTCACGGATGAAACGCTTGACCAAGGCGCGCACAGCTCGGGTGTTATGAACCCTGGATTGGTGATTCGTCGTGTTGGATGGCGGACGCGAGACCGACAAGTCCCCTGTGGCCAAGAACTCGGCCATGACAGCCTTGACTGTGCGGGCACCATGCCCAAGCAATCCACCGACAACACCAGAGACATCAGAGCAACCTTACTCACGAAGGGATGCTTGAAGCCAAAGAATGTCCAGCTTCTCCTCGTAGGTCAAGCTGCGCCCACGGCGCATCTTGACGAATTTCTTCATCCGCGCTATGACCCCCGCATCCATGCACGACACGGGAAATTTGGTTTTAGCGCCATAAGTCTGTCACTTTTGGTTTTGGGAATCGATAGGCCCAGTCACAGCCGTCATGTTTCGCTCTATTTGACGCAAATTGGTGCAGAAATGCGAAAAATAGCCCAAAAAGAGTAAAATTTAGTTCCATTAATAAATAGCGGTTGAACTGACCTCGAAAATATAAAAACGATTTGAAACCTTCTTTCAATGTTGATGTAGTGTTTCACAAGTAATCAAGTTTCAATGACGTTTTTTTTAATGAAGCCTGAATCACATCGTATTGTGAGGGATATGTCATTCCGGAGTGTAAATGACTCTGTACTTTAAAGTCATTGCTCAGGCGAGTCCGAGACTTCAAAAATCGAGGAAATTGGCCCAGCCTATCGCAAGATACGAGTAGAAGTTCCCCTTGATGCCCTCAGGGACTGTCAGTTCACCTCTATTTTCACGCCAAGCGCTTACAGATTATTAAATCGAAGTATTCAGTATTTCCCTCAAGATACCTTATGTAGTACCTTCTCACGCCCTGGGGGTTAGGCTCATTGGCTGGGTTAGCGATAAGCTTAGCTAACCTCCGGTGATGTGCATGTCCCCGATGAGCATTAAACCTATCCATCGAGATTTAGGGATTAATGGGTTACACTTGGTGAGCCCCTTGCTCTGCCGCCGCAGTTAATTGTCGGTTGGAGCAAGATGTGCAGTTGTTTTGTTGTTACTTATTTGTCGTCGTAGTTTAGCCTCGCATAGTTTTCAGCCATTTCTGTTTGTAGTATGAGTTGTAGTACGCGTTTTCAACACTCTCCTATCTGCGGTACAACGGGGTTCGGTATTTTGAAGATGGGAATCAGTGCATGTGCTGTGGGGTCCACTGGAAATAGGAAAGGCTCCGGTAGAATCTTGCAGCTGTGCTAAGACTACGTCGCCCATCTAAACTCAGTAACGTTGTGGTCTTTGACGTGTTGGCTTGAAAACAGTTAACCAACCTCGCAGGAGCATCCAATAGCGCCGCTGTTTGACACGTGACGTGTATGTCAGAATGCATATCGGTGCTAACTTGCGGGTATGTCCAATCACATCGATAAATGTCTCGTGACATGTTGGTCAGAACACAGTCGGTGCCATCTCGCAGGCACTCTAATAGCTTCGCAGATAGTCATGATGTGTTGGTCAGAGTGCAGTCGACCCATCTTGCAGGCACGACCGCTATGTTGGATGTGGTGAACAGTACTTCCGTATACACTTTGAAAGGAGTTCGTTATTCAAGTAGCAGTAATTTCGAACTACAGGGAACGACGCTGAGTAACGGCGTGATGAGGACTTGTGATTGGACAGATAGGCGGTTCGAATTGGCCAATTGAGGATCACAAAACCAAAATATAGAAAAAGTTTCGAATGAAAAAATGAGCTTTGAATATAAGATTAAAAATGATATTATGAATATAAAGAGTAATTAGTACTACGAAAACATCGATGCCATGGTTTTCAAGTCCTCATTCTTACAGGAAACTAATTATCACAAGGGATCAAGGTCATACAATGCCTAGTACACATATTGCATTGCATCGACGTGACACATGGACTGTGGATTTGCACCCCCCATGGGGACCAACAAAATGTGACATGATCGCTTATAAAAATACTATAATTTAATACTCTATTGAAGTAAAGGAAAAAAGTATACGGTATGGGTCAATGAAACTACAAGCCATAGAATACACAAGTCCCCCCATTATCTCCCTTGAACAGACGGATAGGGAGACGCGCAATGCTCACTCCACGAATTCCGGTATGTCCGTATTAAAATCTTGTGCAAAATAAGGGTACCGGTCATGTCAATTGGTCCCATGCTTTAATGTCACGCTTAATCATGACATTTAGCTTTCTTTAGCGCGTGTCGAACAGTCGTGCTTTCAGCTAAGCGTACGACATCGAGCTTTTGGGTGAGCATCAGTCGGTGTCGAGGCTTCGTTGGCAGCACTGTGGCTGCAGGTAGCACTGACATTTAAGGTTTCAATCAGTGGGGTGGAAAGTTGTTTAAATTATGCAGGGAAAAATTCCGCCAATCATAGTCGAGGTAACGATATCGATGATTATTATTGGATGATTTGAAAATTTATTCCCGCGCCGCTACTCAGCGTCATTCCCTGTATTACCGTGTTGTGTGGTATCACATGAGGACAACCAATGCTGTAGAACCTTGATGTGAAGGATGATTTGCTTCGTTGAATACAGCAAGGGTTTCGGACCTGTACATATTTGTGTTGAACAACGTGACGAACAATACGTCCGCCAACACACTTTTGACGGTGGATTCTTTGTTACCCGGCGTTGTGTGGCATGAAATTACGAACAACATGTCGTCCGGACACTTCATGTGAAGGACAATGAAACGGTAGCTTTTCTCACCTACGCTGCGGTGGAAAAATGATGCATACAATATTCGGGTGCAAGTGGTGGGTAGATATTGAAAATAGCTTGGGTTTCCTACATTTGCTATGATGGTTGATGATACGATAGGGGAAATACGGTATGGTACGTATGGTGCAGAATAGTTTATTTACTGCAAAACGCAGGTTGTGCCCATGACCGTTATGTGAAGGGATGTGTGCACGATATTTAGAAAGAATGAATTCCGTGTTATGG